CACATTTTTCCAATCAGAAGGGAAAACTAATAGAGAAGAAAAGAAGTTGTACAAGTATATTTAAGATGAGTGCCAGGTCAAATTCAAAAATAAACATGTTTAATCTTACTTTTAGCTCTTTATGGAAAGAAGTCTTTCTGTTAACTAAGTGTTTTAGCCATGAAGTTACAAAATATTGTTTGTAACAATTTTACAAAGGTTTAATTATAAAACAGCACTGTAAAAAATTAACTGGTACCACATTACACTGCAGGGCTGCATATCAAAGAACATCGTAAAATTGCTTTCTTTTGTTAAGTCAACAACTCAGCAAAGACTGATGTCAGAGTTAGGGTATTATGATTACATGGTTGGACATGATGATCTTTCAGGTCGTTTCCAACATGAATAATTCTATGATTCTTCATCCATGACAAGCACACACACACAGTTACTCAGTTTCACTTTCCTGGGCCCTCTCAACAGAATTTAAGTTGGTTTTGTTATTGTTTTTTGTTTGTTTTGTTATTTTTATTTTTAAACATCTGCATGGTTTTAGACTCTCCTCAAGCTGAGCAACTTGCAGGGAAATTCTGTTGTTTGCAAACACGATGCCAAAAATCAATAGACATGGAGAAGGCCTGAGATAAAATCATGAATTTAGACAGGCATTCTAATGTCCACAGCAGAGGCAGAGAGTACCTGATGGCCACTTTCCATTCACACACTCACAATCAGGTACAACAGCAATGCTGTCCACATATTCTCACAGTTTATCCTCAATACTTTGGATTTGACTAAAACACTGTCTAGAAAGCTAAATAGCAATTCCCCAACTAGGAGATATATATAACAGATGGCTGATGGGAGCACCGCAGAGAACCAGCACATAGGAGCTTCTCACAGGTAAGACCTATCGTCAGGAACGTTACCTGCCCACAATCTATGTCTGCCTGCAGCTACCCATGCAGCTCAACCTAATATGTACCTGCACCAAAATGTCTTCTTCATTCAAAATCTGTGTTGTAACATCGACAAGTACACAACTATAATTAACAGTATGTTAACGCACACCTACCCGCAAAAAAAAAAAATCACATAAATGTACTTTAAACAGGACTATCAAACCAAAATGTGGGCTACAGTAACAATGCTATATCAAAGCAGAGAGGGTCTCATGAAAATAGTGAACAACCAGACTCTTCAGCAAACACCTCACCAGAATCACTTCAGCAAGCAGTGAAATATATATATATACACACACACCTTTCCCAGCCCCACATGGGAGAGAAGAGAAAGAAGGACGGGAGGCTTTGCTCTGCCTTAAGGAACCATGTCAATTCAAGAGATACACATAGTTTACACATGCACATTTACTCTTTCATGTACTGAAATTGGTTAAGACAGCCCTAATAGAACCCAGATGCTACATAGACGAGATCACTGCGATCAACTGTATTATAATACAGCCATACAAAACTATTAAAATAGTTTTTCCCAGGTGCCGGATATCTCCCACCATGTTCAAATAAAATAAAAAGCATCTTACTCCTTGCTGTTCTAATCCTTCCCTCCTTAGAATATGTCAAAACTGATAACCATGGCAGACACTTAACACTTGACATCTATTTTCTCAGCAGCATCAAAATCTACAAATTGGATTTCTAGTTGTTGTCTCCCTCTCCTGAGCTGCCCTTCCTATCTGTTCATCCTCCGCAGTCCTCCTCACCTCCCCCAAAATTTCTGACACAGGAGTTTTAAAAAGAAATACGAATGGAGTACACTGCACAGAAGGCAGATTTATTTTAGCACAGACATAAGAAGAAACACTGGAAAAAAGTACTTGAACTGAAGAGCTTTATTAAGTTTTCTCAGCTTTTATCCGAGTTGAGATATTTACTTTGCCAGGTTTCAAGTCAAATATTTTTTAATGGAGTTAAGACACCACAGTGCCTGTGACAAACAAAAACTGCAGTAACTCAGAAATTCTGCAGGACATTCTGCACTGACCTGTGAGTGCCCAAAGGAATTACTGATAAAAGTGGCCCGTTTAGGAGTATGTGACATAATGCAATGCAGCTCTATCAAAACTACCCATACAGATAATATTTCTTAGGAAGTAGGTAGTGTATCACCAGCAAGAACGAACATTCTTCTGGTAAACAGCAAAATACAGCCTCCTCCCATTCTTTCACCTTTCACTTCTGCACCTATAACATGAAAATAAATTCTAAATACAAGTTATTTTCTTCTTGCTTTGTTTCACAGAATCAAGAAAACCGTCTCCCATATTAGCAACAGAACAACCCAGGCATCAAATTTTTAAAAGTCAGAAATAAGAGCTGGTAAAAAAAAAAAATTGTGATCATTAAAAATTCTATTTTTAAAAAAATTAAAAATTTAAAAAAGATAAATCAAAGAATGAATGTATTATGATGATAATCCATCGACAGAACAATCACTTACCAACCTGATGCAACAGTGAAAACCCAAAGAAGCACAGACTAAAAACACTAAGCAAAGAGGCCAAACTACACCCAAAACAAGCACAAAGCCTCTCACAGCCCTTCTAGAAGCGTTCTATTTATAAAGCAAGAAAGGACACTAATTTCAATTTGCAGAGCAACACTAAATAATTTCTGATATGCTGCACAAGTTTATAAGACTGCTCCTGCCTGTTTTCAAACCTGTCTTATGTAACAACCCTCATGTGATTCAGCAATCTCCACGAATTTCTCAGTATTTTCACACAGCTCTCATCACTGCTCACAAATGCCACCCTTTCTTCACAACCCTTCTCTCCTCTTTTACCATTAGAATTTCCAACAGCTTATTGATCCCCAAAAGAATTCAAATCAAATTTTTTTTTAATATGGAATCTTAAAAAAAGTTAATGTTGTAAACCAAGGAAATGCAATTGGAGGTTTTTATTGCTTATTTTTATGCATTTGCAAATCGCTGTTAATTATTAAGTTTATAAGAACTTATAAGCGTATTATTGGGTGACCAAAAATATATTGCAAACTCAGTGTTCATGTAAATACAAGATCTGAAGGACAACAAGAAACAAGAAATGTGCTCAATGCAGGGAAGCATGGGGGTGCAGGGAGGGGAAACACTGTGCCCCAATCCAGGCAGCTTTCTGTTGCAAAGTCCAGACTAGCTTCACTATGCATTAAGAAAGCAATCCAGTTAGTCTGATTTTTAATCAGTTTCATCAAAAAGATGCTTCAGTTGAAAAATGCCTTTGGACTTTTTCAAGCTCTTTTTCATGCAGATAAAAGTCAAGAAAATTTCAAAACTAATTATGACCCTTCCTACCCCCCAAAAAAAACAACAGTGACCGAAAAACCACTAAATAACATTATATATAAGACAGCTTAATGACATCAAGTAACTCAGCATGGTCAAACAAGAAATCTTAGAATATCACCACAGTGAATAAACAGAAATTGGTTTCAACAAGTCAAGCAGAGATTACACATTTTACTGCCATCCACGCCCTTGAAATAGAACTACAGAACAGTTTTTGCATTTCTTTTACTTGCAGATATTATGAGCGACACTGAACCACTCTATGTCTCTGAAATGTATACCATCACTTATACACCACCCTGTGCACTTTAAAAATGTTGAGAAAATTTCCTAATCATCACTTCCTTCAGTAGAGTAAAAAAACATCAGAAATAAAGACAAAATATTCTGAAATGTTTAACATGGGAGGAGTACAAATAATAGAAATAATTACAATAGACATTTAATTGATTCCAATACACTCATTTACAACAATCTTTTACTCTCCAAGCACATACAAGAGGAACAGATGAATGCTAATTTTGTTGCCTTTTTTAAATGCAACATTTATCTCTGAAAAGCAACTTCCTCAACTCCAAAATGCTCTGGTCCAAAAATGGACCTTGTTCAACTTGCACTGGACTAAGGGGTATGACAAAACCAACTGAACAATTTCCCTAGGACTGTCCCATTGTAAGCCTATTCCATGTTCACGGAAAACACATTTATTTCAGCTCATTACTAGGCCCTACACATTCAGCTCAATACGAGGCCCTGGGCAGCCTGGTCTAGTATTAAATGGGGAGGTTGATGGCCCTGCATGTGGGGTTGGAGTTTCATGATCCTTGAGGTCCCTTCCAACCCGGGCCATTCTGTGATTCTGTGATTCATTCTTCTGCACTTTATTTACACTGCCTTCCACTTCCTATCCTCCCAAACTTTTCATAACGTACTGACATGCCTTACGAAAACATAAAGAACAAACAAAATATTGTTTACTGAAGGCTGGTGTCTTCTCTGGAGTGAACCCTCTCTCCCTATTTGAGATACGTACTTAAGAACACTTTTAAGGAAAACATTTGTAAAGACCACAGAACAGTGTGCTGTGTGTTTCCTGCACTTGTGACTGAATTATAAGCTTCCCATTATTTCACAGGACAACGCAACAATGCTACCAATTTTTTCCACAGTATCACTAAGGAATTTAAAAATGTTATTCAATTAAGGTCCTGATATCTTCATGTTAACTTTCAGATATCACGTCTATACGAACAAAACTTTTTCCCATTTCATGTAAGGACACTCTCTTGAGATACTGAGAGGGATATCTGAAAATAAAAAGCAATCTGAGAACATTTTTCCAAGTTCAAACCCAACACCTATGGAGCAGCCTTCAAGTGGTTAAGGTTCTCTCAGTACTCACATGCATTCAAATATATGTTTACATTAAAAAACCTGAAGCAGCAGACAACAAAAAAATCTACACTGTGGCAAATTACCCCATCTCTCTTTTCAATAAATAGTGTGAAGATTTATTTCCACTTAGACTTATGATAAATTGCACAAATAGGTGAACATTTCCATTTAGGCTCAATTAATACACCACAAAGAAACAGCAGGTAGATACTCCAAACATACTGAAATTTATCTATTTTAGAAATTCAATCGTTACAGCAATATATTTAAGCAAAATAAATAAATAGATTTTAGAAGCTGCATATACAGACCTTCCAGTAGTCAGATTGTAAACTGTAGTACCTCTGGTATGCAGATAATGCTGTAAGAAAGAAAAAAACAGTGTTGAATTTGTTTTGCTGTTTGTTTGTTTTTGGAGTAAGACAGAAAATCTTAAGAGTCAGAACACAACATTAAAATGACAAATGGCTTAATAAAAGTAACACTGCCACAATAAGTGCCCTGTTGTGGGTAACGCATTCCTTACGATTATAATTTTATGAGATGTCAACTAAAAATTATATTTATTATTGATCATACAAATGTAAATCAAGCAGCATTTTAAGGAAAAACTACAACCATAGGAATCATTTTAAATTTTGAAACTTTCTTCCTGGACAATGCTGCTATAAGATTTACAAATTTAATCATGTAGCTCATTTACCATTCTCCCTGATGTACTGTAATTTCTAAAGAACTGGTGTGGAGGGACATGTAAAGAGAAAGCATTTTCACACGTCCTTTCATTCAGTAACCGGAAAAACAAAAGCAAGTTAAAAAAGGCTTATATGTTACTCACCTAAGAAGACAGAGACTAAGCTGAGTAACAGCACAAGCGCTGCGGTGTTTTGTAGAATACAAATACTACTTAGCAATGAACTTCTCAATTCACCATTCTTTCATCTCTTTTTCTGACTAAAAATTGTTGTTGATGCAACTTGCCCTTTGGCTAACAGGGATACGGCAACATCAGACTATAGTGCAAACAGGCCTTATGTTCCAAGAACGTTACAATAGGCGCCATCAAAACTGTACTCTTTTAAATAATGATTCACTGCAATAACACCAAGACTTTAATTTTTCAACAAGTCTTAAGATATGAGAACGGTTTCTACATAGCGTGCATTTTCCAAATAACAAAAGAAGACAACCTCTGCTTTGAAAAACTACCAGCACTGAGCAGATTAAGACAGCAAGAATAATATGTACTTTACGCATAGATTCATTTCCTGCAAGTACCACAGACAAATTACATACCAACATTTTATCATCCTTCAATACCTGTCCTGCTCACTCATTTCCATAACTTAACAGAAGTATATAGGCTTAAGCAAAATAAGAACAAAATGGATTAAATGACAGGGCACGCAGAGCTTCCTTTTCTTAAATACACAGCTGAGGATACACCCAGACATCTTCCATCTCTTTTGATTATATCCTGCAGCCTGGTGATATACAGACTTTCATCATTACTACAGCCTTAAATACTTCTGGATTGCATTTACAAAACTCTGCTTGTCAGTAGAAATAAACACGCTAATTAGCATGCTAATCATCAATGGTAGCTGATACACCTCTCTATTTGGAGCAGGGATAAATTCACTGATTTATTTTCCTCAACAAAACACCGAAGTGTAAAGCAAATACCTTTTTCTTTTGGTTTAGTGGTTTTTTTTTTTTCCCCCATCAAGCTCACTACCAAAACACTCAGACCTGTCATATCTTTTGCCAGTCATCCTGAGTGCTGATCAATATTGTTCCTCAAAACTACGCTTCTCATGCACCTAACTGATATGTGGTGAATCGTGCATATGCTCTGCCTCTCACTGCTGGAATCACCTGCAAAGCCAACTGCAGATTCACTTAGATGCCCGGTACAGAAAAAAACAACAAACAGAATAATACTCATCAACCTCAGATTATCAACACAGGAAAGTATAGCTATTTATACGCAGCTCAGTTAAACAGAAACTTCTAATGACCTACCCCACCAGACTAAGCTTTTCAAAACATAAAAATACAATTCCCTTCCACCAATCAGTACAAGTTTCAGTACATATAACTGCAGTCTAAATGTAAGTTTATAAATGTCGAGAGTAAGCACATTTCAGTCACATTCTGTGCACATATAGTTGTGCACTATATGTTCACATAACAGAAAACGAGCTCCTGCCCCAAACACTCTTTCCAGATTCACTAATAACGTCATGGCGAAAAGACATAATTAGCTGCATCCAGACCAGACAAAGCACATGTCAGAGAGTAGGAGGCACAGGAGGCACAAGAATCCACTGAAGCCACTGCTGTAAGGCAACTTGCCCGAAGAAGTACCAGCTCCTCCAATTAACGTAGAGAAACGATCCTAGATTTTAAATAAATAAATAAATCTTTGCACCATGATACCGTACCAGTTATCCTTAGTCCTGATGTTTGCAAATTATTTTCTTTGCTACCTCTTCCACACTTCAGTAAAATTCAGCAGCTTCCCACAGTAACAGTTGAAATGACTGTTTTAATGCACCTGCCTCATGCTACAGTTAAAAGCAAGTACATGGAAAGCACGGCCCGCTGAAGCATATTTTGTATACACATACTAAGGAGGCAAGACATTCATTCTAAAATCACATTATTCTTATAAAGAATGAAAGAACACAAGACAGTCCTCCTCTAAAGCGTCTGTAGCACCCAATCCTATTTCTGGCTTCAGTAAGCTGTTCTAGGGATTCATCCTTAAAGCTGGATCAGGGGAGGGGCAGCTGGGGGTTAGGGAAAGGGTCTGCACCAGAGGGCAGTGGGCATGGAATGGGATGCAAAAGGCTGTGGGCACAGCCCAGAGTGATGGAGTTCAGAGAGCATCTGGACAGTGCTCTCAAGCACAGGGTTTGATTTTGGGTGTCCTGTGTGGAGCCAGGAGCTGAACTTCATCATCCTCATGGGTCAGTTCCAGCTCAGGATATTCTGTGATAGTTCCTCCTCTTTCTCAGTTCATAACTGTTTCTGATCCATTATTAATTGCTGGTCATACCGAGAAAGCTACCATCTTTTCCTTCTGGGGTGACAGCATTGTGCTGCTACCAGCCACCATATTTAGCTTCTTGAAAATGAAATGAAAGAATTCTCATCGTGCTGAAAACGCTAACAATAAACCCCAGAGGGATCCCTTACATCTGCAAAGAGGAACTAAATGTCCCTTTCCTCTTCAAGTAAGTTAGACAACTAGAAACTGTTATTCAAGCACAATTTCAGAATTGAACAAGTGCTCAACTTAGTTACCTGTCAAAGTTTATTTCAGTTCTGTTTACAGCTACATTAAAATCTACTGCACAGACACACAAGCTTTGCTGCTAAGAACAAACAGAAAAATTGAAAGGATTCAGCTGCGTTGTTTTTTCCCCCAGAACTTATGTGAACCATCCCTAATCAAGCACACTCCTAACAAGAATCTTGCGTATAAAAAGAGGCTTGAAACCAAATTATGAAATAAAGCTGAAACTACCTGCTATTTTTAAAGCAATAAAACATGACCTTGAAGCCCATCATACCTTCTGCTCCCAGAGCTCATTCAGTGCAGACATGTACACTAAGTCTAGACTCAATAGAACAAATAGAAACCAAATTTTCAACATCTAAAAACCATATTATGGAACTATAAACAACTTCCCCCTTAAATTAAGTTTTGAACAGTATGAGATGAGTGCAAATCCACCAAGTTATAAAACTTGCTCTAAATGAAGAAGGAATGAAAGGACAAGAGTGAATCTGACTGAATAAATAAGAATTTGGAGTAAATCCCCTTCTGAGACGCAGTCTATTCTTCATCAGTACTATGATTCTAACCGTAGTATGGGGTACCCTGGATTTTTAGAAAGCAAGCAGATACTAACTTATGAGTCATATTAGTAGCATTTAGAAAATAAATTGTCATTCGCTCAATTGTTTTTCATTCAAGACTTGTCATTCCAAGGCAAGCTGATTTTTGGCAGAAAAAAATTCTGTGAACCACTGTTCCTTTCCACTCTGCTGTAAACTCCCATTTTTAAAATTACATTTTCATTAAGTTTTTGAAATTCTCAGTTAAGATATCCTTTTTTTAGATTAGCCCATATTCTAAAGGCTTCCAGAGAAAGTAAGCCAGATCATCGACATGCTTCTAAAAAGAGAGGGAATTCTCTTTTAAAATATACAGATAGCATGAAAGATACATTAGAAATTAAAATATAAGAAATCTGTACATAAGATCGGTTTTGCAAGTAGTATCATTTCCAGGAGTAATACAAAACTGCAAATACAGAGAAAAAAGTTGAAAGGAATCAATATTTACTGAAAGAGAGAAAGTTAAATTATGCATCTAAGCATCCACGTGCCACTTGAAATTAGCTTTAAAAATCCATTTAAAGTAAAGTAATCTAGGACTACAGAATATCGTGAGTACCCTGAAATCACTCTTAAGCAAAAAAGAATTTTGCAGACAAACTTTTGATTATGAGCTTATCAATGAGCTTTTCAAATCTAAAAGTTCACCACTGAAATGATACCTGTGGAACTGCTAGAGGCCAAACACATAGAAACTTTTTTTTTTCCCCAGTGTGCCAAACACTTTTCTTCACTCTCAACCACATTCATAACACGACCTTCTCACCCACAGAAAATTCTATTAAAAGCACAAAGCTGAAAGACCGTATTCAACATCTAAAACAAAACAGGACAAGCAACTCAAGAGTTGCTTATAAAAGGGGTTCCTGGATACGTGTTTTGGTCCTTCCACCCAGTATTTCATTACTTATCAAATCAATTCTAGCGTGCACTCTTCCAGACAACATCATTCTCGAAATCCAGCAATTTTATGATACTTGCCTAAAAATGATCCTTATGCTCAGAATCTGGTAAACCTTATAGCCCACCGAGTGGTAGATGGCATTTGCCATTCCACCCTGAACAATGGGTTTGTTTGCCCTAAAGGTATAAACAGCTTTTCAGATCAAAATAATCTATATTGCTTGACAAGAAAAAAAACTGTGTTTGCCTAAAATAGCTCTGAGAAGAACACTGTCTTTATACCCAGAGAATTAAAGATATAATGGACAGTAAGTAACCTTATCTCCTGTGCCAGAATCAAAGCTGGCTTCAGAATTTCTTTTTCAAACCTCCGCCACCCAGTGCAAAGCTTGCCTTCCGTGAGTTCATACAGTTACATTATACTGCCTGCATCTTATTAAAAGGCTTTTACAGCCACCTAGAACCACCCACCCTGCAATATCTACAGTTACACACCGACAGAAAGATGCAAGCTTACTATTTTTTTCCCCAAAGACTTTGCTTCCT